TTTTTTTTTTTTTTTTTTTTTTTTTTGGAAGACAAGCCACAGAATGGCACTTGACCAGTTGGAAGTAATTTAGGTTTAAAAGTTTTATATTTTGGCTAAATAATAATTCAATTACTACTTTCACTAAACCAAGGTTCCGAAGAATGGAATTATCTGAATTATCTTGGAGTTATTCTAAACCCCCAAATTTAAATGGAAGCCAAACGTTGAAGAGCGTGCAAGGAAGGCCGCGGTGGCTCTCTATGCAGCCAAACAAATGGCAATTAAAACAAAGAATGAGCTATAGTCCGACACATACTCTCTTATGGGGCGCTGATCTGGTGACCACGCCTTACCAAAGATTACGCTGCTAAAAACTAAGCGGAATTCAAAGGTCAGCATCCGTCCGAGTTTTGAACAATCTGCTTGATTTATTATCGATATACATTTCTATCGAAAACTCAGCTACTGACAAGGCCACTATACTCTCTTAACTCTATTTACAAACTGATCAAAGATGGAATGCGAGCGTTTTCCTAGCCAAAACGTCTGCAATTATGGATGCAGTAAGGTACTTCAAAGAGAATGCACCCACAAGAACACCGGAGAATATCTCATGTGATTGCCAAGCGGCTATTCAGGCACTCTCTTCTACCTACATATGTTAGATCTCAACCGGAGGATGACAGTAGTACGAACACAATTGCCTTTTCAATGCATCCATTTGAAAAGAGAATTCGTCATTTTAATTTTGCAACCACCAGGCAGTTTTGGATCGCATAAAACTGGCCTCGATTCCCGGGTCATAGAAACATTAACGGAAACGAGACTGGGAACAAACCAGCGAGGTGGGGCTCCGCACTAAGATCAACGGAAGAATTGTGAAACTTTATTAATTATTTACATGATTACCCGCCAGTTCTGAGTATCCTACGACCAAATTAAAACCGGAGCCGTTTTAGGAATGAGCAAAGAAAATACCTACATGTTTGAGCCACAAGCGAATATGTTTAACAGGACTACTGTTCCAGAGGATGCCTCCCTCTCATTCACCCATAAAGGGCTATGTGTGGAGAAAGTTTCAAGCGACCACTGCCTCGTTTCTTGAGGTATGAAGTTGACGTTTCCGAAGATTTGCGAGTGCTCAACTGCTCTATTTAATTAGCTGCTTGTCTACGGCAACGCTAAGTTTAATGTTATACGCATGAATGAGAATGGTCTGTAGTTCCCAGCTGATTCTAATAAGGCTCACACTTTGCTCACGCTCTGACTTCTTAGCAAATGTAGACTTTTCTAGTGAAATCCACCAGCCAATATATAGTAACGGATGTCTTTTGAAATAGCTTGCCAATATTTAGCTGCTAGTATAGCTTCCTGTCTGGGATCAACACGAAATACTTGCCTATGTTGGAGGACACAAAACGAGCGTCACCGATCGAGGTAAACTGCGTAAGAGGCACCTTATATCTGCTGGAGTAGAAGACTTGCTTTACCTTTTTACGATTAATAGTAAAGCCAAGGCTAGTCTGCCTTTAAATAACCATCCATGAGGAACTTTCCTATGATAATTATAAACAGTTACATATATTTAGTATAGCATAGACAGTCTCTCCTTTCCAGCGATTTCAGAACTTCGTTGATGACAACGATCAAGAAAAAGGGTTAGATAAAGTATAGATTATTAAGAATAATCAGAAGTATCGTCCAGTCAATTCTCCATTACATTGCAAACTTTACTTATTTATAACGCCAATACATAGTTGCTACTCAAATATAAATTCACGCAGGGTGTCACAGAACTTCGCACTTAAATTTTGAATGTTAGAAGAAGGTAATATTTTGAAGTCGAATGGTTTTCTACAACTTTGCGATAAAACGCCACTTCGCTTACACAATTCGTAATTGCTCTGATGAGTTTAAAGACTTTAAAGTTAATGAGATTTTCCCTTTGAAAAGAATTTAGCGGAGAACCTCTGAGTTTTGTAGCAAATTGGGAACACCTATTGCTCGTAAATTGCAAATTTTAAATTTGGCAGAGCAGTGCTTTAATTGGTCTACTTCAGACTATATACATAGATGAGGTTGACGTATAGGCTTCGTCCAGCAAAGTTAAAGAAGAGCATTATACTTTAAAATTTCACTCCTCAAAAACGTAAGTGCGAAGTTTTGGAACGCCCCTTCGGAACATTAGTACATTTTTTAACTCTCTTTTTATTATTAACTTATATACTTACTCACATAAAAGCGCTGTTATATATGCAATGTTTTTTAATTTTTGTCGGAGCATAAATTTTGGAATTATTTGCGAATGCTAGACAAAGCANAAAAAAAAAACGCCAACAGATATGCTCTGGCTGACAGAAACAAATACTATGATAAGTGCGACAGTATAATGTTGAGAACACCGGAAATCTAGGGGTGCGCCTGAGATTTCGGGTGAAAATAAGTAACGAAAAAAAAATAAATTGTATTCAAAATTTTTTGCTTTACCACAAAATTTTGTATATATTTTCATTACCTAATTTTTAAATTTTTTACCACTGTACTATTGATGCTCTCCACTACTACTTTCCAATACTTACTATATGCAAAATTCGTAAATTATTCTCAAACATTATTGGTATACTTATATATATTTTTTGTGTAAATGTGTAATAAGACAAAATTTTACTAAAAAAAAAAATACTAAAGCATATAATTGCTTTACTTTGCTGATCTGCTGTCCGATTAATAACAATTATACGTACGTACATATCATAATTTCAGAGCTAATAATGCCAAAATAAATTTCCGAGAAAAGGAGAAAAAAGTCTTAGACCAAATTTTAGGTGCAGGAAAATATGATGCCAGAATACGACCATCCGGAATTAACGGCACGGGTAAGAAAAACTAAGAAGAAAAAATACACACACCACAATAAGAAAATAGACACATAACTGGACTGTGGATTTTTATGCAGAATACGGAGCCTAGAAATATGTACCAAAAACAAAATGTATATAAATTTATACACTTTGCTTATATTTGCTTATGGTACATATTTCTGGGCTTTGTATTTTGCATAAAAATCCGCAGTCTACACATGACACTGCTTCCAATAAATTTGAGAACAAATTTGTTTTGGAAATACTTTTTGTTTTGTCAAAAATATAAGAGGAAATTAAAAAAACAATCTTTAGAAAAAAATATGTACATATATTAGAGCTCTTAGCAAACCCTTACTTTTAGCTGACAGATATTTTATTAATTGAAAATGTAAAGCCAATATACCTCATTTTAATTTAATAAAATTGGTTATAATTTTTGAAAAATTTGTTTAACACATTTCTAGGTATATACTAATATAATGAAACTGTTGAAAAAAATTTATTTCAAAATTTAATTCCCATAGATTTTTTTTTATTTGTATGTAAAATATTTTAATTGTTAATAAAAAAAAAAACAAAGATAGAAGTAAGTATATATGTTTACATATAAAAGCAACTCCAAAAGTGAAAATATTTTTTAGAATAGGAAAATTTTTAGCTTAACATCAAATTCGTGCTGAATTTACCAATAAGATATTGAGAAATCAATTTAAGAACAAATATTTTTTTAGCACAACTAACACGATTTTTTAAGTATATTTTTTCATTAGAAATATTTTTTAGTAACTTTTTTTTAATAAAAAAATAAAAATTTTCAAAAATTATATTTTGTTTGAAATTTAGTACTTAAATTTTTTTATTTCAAAATTTGTTTATTTACTTTACATTTTTTTAAGTCGTGTTTTTTAATGATTTTAACAAAGCTTAACATATTTAAAATATTAAATTAAAAAATTTGTTGTATATTTGGGCTAAACAAATTTTATTATTACATACATATTCGCAATTAGAAATAATTTAAAAACTACATATATGTAAATTTTTTAGTTTCTTTAGTATATCCGGATCTTTTAATAAATTTCGTTATGTACATGCCAAAATTTATAATCCAAGCACTTAGTGTATTTTATAACGCGTCTAATATGCGTTCGCGTTGACGATTATTTATAAATTTATAAACTATTTATTGTATCTAAAGTGTACTTTTTATCATCACATCTACCAAGTAGCATTTATTTTTAAGAGATTAATTTATTGAAAACATTTCTTACATACAAATATACTTATAAACAAAAACCTACACATAAATGTGTGTGTGTGTGTGTACCTACTGTATCGAAACAGATGGCCCCGCTATAGTCAGAATCAATCTTTTCGTACGAAGTATAATGACAATTAGTGACATAAAAATGGTAAGTTTCGCAAGCAGAAAACTTAAAAAATTATATCTTACACAATCGAATTGCATTAACTTATTTATTGTTATGAGTATCAAAAACTAAAAATCCCAAAATTTTACATCACCATTAAAAAAAAAATTTTTTGTATTACAAAAGAAGCGCTACACCAAAAATCCCTAAAATTTCTAAATACTTCTAATTTTATTGCAAATATATTCTTGAAAAATGTTCATTCGTCCCCCAAAAACCATTTATTGCTCGAAATAAAAATAAAAAAACTTTTAACTGCAACATTTCTCTATCACTTACATACTTGTATCTACATTTAATCGCATATTCTCAAATCAACCGTTAACCGTTAAAAACTTATAATATTTAATTTTTCATTTCAAATCAGTACATCTACAATTGGCAATGCTTTGATTGCAAAAAAAAAAAAATAGATTTGAAGTAGTTTGCATTTGTTAAATTTTAAGAAATAAATAACTATTTAGTTAGAAGTGAGTGCAGCAATTACTCTAAATAGTCGATTACCAGTTATTCTTTTAGTAAAAAAAAAAATCAAATAATACACTTTTAGCTACTCCCATACATTTAAGTGCATAAATATTAAATAGCGAAAAAATTCTATATAATATATAAGTAAATATTTTGCATATTTCCCAGCAAGCGTTTTTTCGCCGCTATTTATTTGCGAAAATCAAATTTGGATATCCATTTCTCGCGTCTATAGCGAGTTCAATACCCAGCTCACCTCATTTAATAAATACTCAAATTCGTATATACTTACATTAATTAACTGAAGTTATATGAAGTCGTACATACATACATACATACATAAATAGTACCTATATTCAGTTAGTTTAGAGCTTTTTTTGCATCTTGAGTTCGAAGAATAATGTTTTCGGGTTATCCAGCACACAAAATAAAACAAACAAAAAATTACAAAATTAATGGTTAAAGTCATTTGCTGCCATTCAAATTTGCTGCATAAATCGAAGGCCCTACTAAACAGTAATACATAGATACATTCGAGGTTTAAAGTTTTCAACAGGTACGATTGTACGTACCAACTTTTCCAAAACTGTAGCTAATCGAGCAGCTTACTGTGTGTGAACACCAAAAAGCCGTAGCTCAATTAAAAGTTTAATTGACTCAATTTAATTTCTGTCTGAACTTAATATAAGCTAGGCAACAGCAAAGTCACCAGGCATCAAAAACAGGGGACTCCGCAAGGCGGTGTACGTGAACTACAAAGTAGGGTAATTGAGAGAGCAAAGTAAAATTTTATTTTGAGAGGTTGTTGCTAGTTTCTGCTGAAGAAATTTTTGCCAACAGGATTTTGTCAGCAAGAAGAGTAGCTGAGCAGTTTTCTCACGTTCTCAATTTCATACTTTTCAAACTTCTATTAGCTGTACATCTAACTTGCCGGTTTCTGCAAACAGATGGCATTTCGCTGCTGGATATTTTTTTGTGGCAATTTCAAACGGTCGTGCCTTATGTATATAGAATAGGAATTTCAAAAAATTGGATGACCAAAAAATGTTATTTTGAGACACGAAGATCGATATATAATACAGTATTTCCCGCTTAATTGACCCCCGGTTAATTGGTTTTCTCGGAAAGAGACATACCTTCAATTTTTCCCGGTAAATTGAACAAAAAATTATGCAATTTTTGAAGTGGAATTAAGCAGGGAATATTGTACTTTAAAATCTGTAACTACCAAAATATGACGAAAAATGTAAAAATCAGACCCTTAGGTTCGGCAAAAAAAAAAACTTTTTTCGGAATTGCCTTGCAAAAATACTTTAAGACTCTAATGCAGCTTGAAAGCTGCGGTATTCACATTGAAAATAGCGTTCAGCTACTATAAGAATCGCTAAAAAAAGTAAAATTCCCTTTTCACTTTCCCTGTCGGCCCTGTCGGGTAAATATTTATGTACATTTTCTATAAAGTCAAATTTAAAAAACGTTTTCAATTGTATAAAAAAAAAAAATTACTAACTCCCGATTCATGAACGCAGTATATGACTTTACCAATGAAATAATATTTGCAATAATCAGGGCTTTGGCATTAAAAAAAAAAAAAACCTTTGCAAATGTATTTTATGAATTCGATTAATCGAAGTTTCTTAGACGTTTATAACTTAATACATTTTAATATTCATGTTTCTTGTTTGTTATTTGCTTCATAAAATTTGAGCAATTATAGGTAAAACACCAAAAATAAAGATGAAAATACAAACAAATTACGAATTTTTTATCAGAAAACACAATTATAAACACACAAACAACTTTTTAATCCGTGATTTTTTACCTCAAATATCCCAAAAAAAAAACATGAATTATATTATGCATAATTCTATGTATTTATTTATATGTGCTCTATGCTCTAGGATGAGTTCCCACTTGACTAAATATACGCTCTGTATACAGTTTGTGTATAATAATAAAAAAAAATAATTATTATATTTATAAAATAGTTCAATATAACTACTTACTTACATACTTATATGCTTAATTATGTTTCATTTAGTTGCTTTGGTTTTTCTTTTCCTAATGCCGGATTTCCACTCGACAATTAAACAACACAATGACAAAAGTGGTCAATAAAAATGAACCTTGTTAGAAAGTTAGTATGTAGCAGAGCTAGGGGTTCTATGCGGGTGTTTTGAATAAAAGTAACGGTAACTAACCGGATATCAAACGAATATAAACCGCATATCCGAATTTTATCAGCGTACACGAATATCTGAATGCATATCCGGATATCCGAATACACGTATAGTACCTGCCCTAGTCAGTAGTTAAAGTAGTTCTGTTGGTTTCCAATCGATATTTTTTAAATGCCACACTTGTTTTGTCATTATAATGCTAAGTGGAAATGCGGTATAAATTAATTACAACTTTTTTTAGTTTTTTTCTCGATTTTTTTCTATATTTAATGATTTTTTGCATATTATTTTATTTATGTTATTTTGCCTTGCTTAATTTTACTTTATTTTTATTTNCAACTTTTTTTAGTTTTTTCTCGATTTTTTTCTATATTTAATGATTTTTTGCATATTATTTTATTTATGTTATTTTGCCTTGCTTAATTTTACTTTATTTTTATTTTTTTTGTCACATTTTTATTTTTATTTTTTTAATTATATTTTTGTTTTTATTTTTTGCTTTTGTTTATTCTTTAATTTTTTTCATTAGTTTTTATTATTTTTCGTTCGTTCTAAACTTAGTACGAGAGTAAATATGCTTCCTTTTAATAAACTCTTGTTTTTAAGTATTTTCTTAATATTTTTTTTTTTTTGTAAAACCAACTTGTGCGAGTCTAAGGTTTTTTAAGAAATTTAGGTAAAGTTTTTCAAAGGCATATATCATCACAGTCTTTTTCAATTTAGCGGTTATTCCGCTGAGCTCCGCTTCAGATTTTTCATTTTGAGGGAAGCATGTTTTCCTAGTCAATTTTCATCACATATTGTTCCATTTCGTCCCACCGTCCATAAGCGATTATAGGTTAAAACGAAATTTCGCGTTTTTCTCGTATTTTCTCCCAATTGCTTAGTTCTTGATTTGTAAGTGTTTGGCTTCCCCTCATACCTAGCGTAGGTT